TTTTTTTTGTATTTTTAGTAAGGGTTTACAGGGTCTCACTATGTAGATTGGACTTGTAGTGATTCTCCTGTGTTCAGCCTCCCAAAGAGCTGGGATTACAGGCATGTGCCACCATGCCCAGTCTCTGTCGCCGTCTCAGCATGTGTCGGGGGTGGGGCCAGCATGGCATGCTGGGGATCAAACCCTGGCCGATGCGTCACTATTCTTTAGCTTTTCATACTATGTAATATTTCAAGTGTATATGTCATATATTATTTATCATTGTGAAATTTTTAAACTTGTAAATATCCCTCTTAAATCTATTATTATAATTATGTGATGAACAGATTATCATTTATAAACTCTTTTTTATATTTGGAAGTATTTGTTTAGAAAAATTTCTAGAAGTTTAATGATATCATTTTTGAAAGCTATTTTGTATACATGTGCAGATTCACAGATAGGTAGCTAAAATATTTTCCAGATTTGTTCTTACAAAGAGTGCCCATTTTGCCTTGTTTTCTCATTATTTTTATATTATGGACAGGGGGTACTTTACTAATGTTTTAACTCTAACTTCTTAAAAAATAACATTTCTTATCATAAAATAATGTATTAGAAATAAGGAAAACCACCAAAAAGCAAAAAGAAGACATCAAAATGGTATGGAATCTTCATCTATTTCTTGGTTAGTGATTCTATAACATAGTACCACAAACTGGCTTAATCAACAGGAATGTGTTATCACAATTGTGGAATCAACATGTCAGCGGGTTTGGTTTCTTCTGAGGGCCACAGGGAAAGTCCACTCCAGGTCTCCCTCCTTGCCTTGTGGATGGCCAGTTATGTTAAATTAGAGTCTCTAATAGCCTTCCTAAAACTTGATTATGTGTATAAAGACCCTGTGTCCAAATAGATCATATTGTGGGGAAGTAGAATTCAGGACTTCAATATATGAATTTTGAGGGATACAATTCAGTCCCATAATACCTGTGATACCTACATTGGTCAGCTTTCCCATTGCTGAGAAAAATACTTGACATTCAGTTTAGAGGAGGAGAGGTTTATTTTGCTCATGGTTTTTGAGGGTTCAGTGCGTGGCTGCCTGGTTCAGAGAGAAAAATCAGGCAAAAGAGCACAGTGGAGCGGAGTGATCACTGTAGGTGGATGGGACGCAGGACACAGAAGAGGGACAGCAAGACGTAGCCTTGTCAGAGCCCCCACCCCAGGGACCTAGCACCAGCTGGACCCCACTTTGGAGGAATAGTTTGGTCTATTACAGTAGACCCCAAGCCATAGATATGGGGGTCTCCCATAATAAAAATATGCATTTGGGGACAAGAAAAAATTAATAGATCAACTTCATGTTTCTAAAGGGAAGTTAAATCAGTCTTGGGAGTTCTGGATTTATACATAAGTATGTACAATTATTTCATTAGGAATAGCAATACTGATGTCATAGTGTTGCAAAATAAATGGAGAAAATAAGCTTGCTATTTCATTTCTAGGTTCACAGTTTAAAGACAAGGAAAATGAGATTGATTAGTGTGTTTGAACAGTTGATAAAAGAAGGAGGAGTGCTTTCTCTTTGGCAAGGCAATGGTATAAATGTCTTTAAAATTGCACCGGAAACAGCACTTAAGGTTGGGGCCTATGAACAGGTAAAATGCTGTTAGCTGTGGAATTTTAAATTAATATCACATTTTAAACTTAGATGTTTGAAATATTTAGATGTTTATGAAAGAGAAAGCTAGAATGTACACAAATAATGATTGTCAGTGTAAATACTAGTGACTTTATTTTCATTTGATTATGTCTTCACATTGCTATTGTACGTAAGAGAGCTTCTGCTCATCACAGTGCAGAAAACTGTTGTAAAACATTTTATAATTGGTTTTGTCTTTGAACAGTTTTATAGAGATTTCAGTTTATTTAATGAAATAAATAAGTTTATTTAATGACTAGAAGATTAATCTTTCAGTGAAATACTGAACTGGTGAGAAGTAAACCATTCGTATGGTTTAGATCTAAATTGTGCCCCGAATCTCATGTCTGAAGGTGAGGCCTGGTTGGATGGGTGGGAGAGTGTGTTCTTGTCTCCAGCTCTCTGCTCTCCCCGTCCCTCTCCCCGTCCCTCTCTCCCTCCTTGTTTCCTTTTCTCCATTTGGTAAGCAGCCTTCTTCTGCCATGCCATCTGCTCTGGTGCCAGCTGACCCCGGACCAACTCTGCTCAAGTCGCGAGCCAAAAATAAACCTTTAGGTTGCAGGTGTCAGGATGTTTTGCCCTGTGATAGGAAAGTGACTAGTACAACAATAAATTTAAAAATTTTTAATCTGATTTAGAATCTTCCTTTTCCTTAAATAATTTACTTTAAGATCAGCTGTTTCTGTTTTCAGTTATAAGCTACTTGTGTCACAGAAGAATCCAAAGGTGTTCTTTATGCTGCTCAGGCTATATTTTTCTTCACTGTAAATCTTGTAGTAAATCACTTCTTTAAACATTTTTTGAGCATATGGCATTACAGTGCTTCTATTGTAGGGCCTTGTTTATATGGCTACTGTAGCTCAAAATTTTAAGAAAATATAAAACATTAAGGATATTGGATTTATTTCTAATGTACATCTTTAAAACTTACATTTTTTCCTTAGTTAAATGAGGATTTGCTTCTTCATTCAACAAGTATCACTTTCATCAGCGAGTGTTTCTTGATTCCCCAGTGTGTTCCAGACTCTCCTGTAGGTGACAGAGATATTGCAGCAACTAGCAATCTAACAACAGCCTCGTCTTGTAGAATTTATCTTAGAATACATGTGGGAAGAGGCAACAATCAAATAAAATACAGGCTGTGTCAGATGGTAAACAGTATCTTCAGGAAGAATGGAGGCTAGAGGCTAGATGGAGCGCTCTTTCAAGGAGATTTACTGGGAAGAGAAGTGGCAACTAGAGAGAGTTGGGAGCAAGAGTGTGTTTTCTAGCAGTGAGGAAGCAGGGTTTGAATGCTTAGGTGAATGATCCTGTGGGCCAGCACAGTTGACAGCAAGCCAGCAAGAGAGGGAGAGGGGGGAGAGAGGGAGAGAGAAGAGAGAGGGAGGGAGAAGAGGGAGAAGAGAGAGAAGAGAGAGAGGATGGTGGCCAGGGACTGTCCTTGAATGGTGAGTGGAGATTTAGCAACAGGAGAGAGGAATGAGTGAGAGTGCGGGGAAGGGCTTGTTCCTCCGTTTGCTTCATCTGCGAAGTGTTGCAGGTGTCACAGTTTTAAGTGGTCTGTTCAAGCGTCCTTCCTGGGGTTTCAGTATCATCAGTGATATGGGAAGCAAGGACATGTTGGCGGCCTGAGGAAAGAGAAGAGGTGTGAAATAGTCTCCTAGGAGGGTTGGAGAGCAGTGAGGTGGGTACTCAGGAACACAAAGTGACCGCAAGGCAGCATGCTGATCTATAAAATCTTATTTCCAACAGGTTCTGGCTTTTGGCAGTTTCATGGACTCAGATACTTATTGTGTGCCCACCATGAGCTAGGTCCTATGCTGTAGTTTGGGGTTGCATGAATGAGCACAATAGATACTGTTTCTCTGCCCTTCTGGACCTTGAACTTTATCAAAAGTAGATGTTGAGGATGGTTCATATAAATTGAATTATCAATTTAGGTGCAAAGATAGTATGTTGTAAAAGGATAAAAGGAACAGAGCAACTTGTGTACTCTTGGTTATTACTGGGAATTTATACGGTGTTATTTGTGAGATCAGGCACAGATGGGAATAAACGGCCTGATCTAAATCGGTGGTGGTGAACCTATAACACAGGGGCCCTAAGGGCTGTTGGTATCACTGGATGCTCCAGAGGGCTCGCTGTCACTGTCCTGAGTCGTCCGCGTGCCATCCTCACTATCTGGTGATGCACAGCAACATAGAGGATGTGCAAGGTAGTGTGCTGTTGGGTACTGATTAGGACTTAAACTTGGAATTGCTTTTTGCCTGCAACCCTGGTAGATGGCAGTGAGTCACAAATAAGCAGCTAAGGTCATAGTTTTTCCCAGTTAGTGCAGAACTTGCCTAGAGATGGAGGGTGGCTCGCTTTCATGCTCTTCTCCTTGAACCCTGCTCTGGTTCCTCACGGCCTTCCCAAGTATGTGTCACCTCATGGGCTGAAGGAGAAGGCAGGAGTGTAAGATGTGAGAAGCAGAAGTTTTCCTGCCCCTATTTGTTTTAACCTTTTTTCTCCTGCTTAGAAGCCCTGCCTTTTTTCTTAGTTAACCTTTATTCTTCCATAGACTTCTTCTTTTTTTTCATTTTTAAAAAGAGAATACAAAAATAGTAAAAAAAGAAAAATTAGAAATGATGCAGAATTTCACTAAACAAAATGATAGGAATTCAACAATGGTTGTTATGTTGCATAGAATATTCTCGAGAGTGCCACTTTTTTTCCTTAAGCCATAGCAGAGGAGGGAATGTTGTATGGGGTGAGGTAAAATGAATTGTAATAGTTTCCTAAAGATGATGTATTTTCTTTCTTGGGTTCTATGTAAAAATCTTTATCCCAGTGTTCCCTTTGGATCTAAAATGTCCCCTCAGGTGGTATACACTTGTAATCACAGGATTGTGGGAGGCTGAGATGGGGACCGTGAGTTCTAGCCCAGCCTGAACAACTTAGCAACTCAGTGAGATCTCAAAATAAAGAAACACAAAAGGCCTGGGAGTGTATCCCAGTTCAAAGGGCATAGGTTTAATTCTCAGTTTCACTTTAAAAAAAGTCTCCCAAAGGCCGTATGTTAAAGGCAGTTACCAGCTGATCGACTTTTCTCTGGGTCACAAGAACTCTGACTTCATCAATGGATAAATCTACTGATGGATTCATAATTCATTGCATTATTGGGAGGTGATGGAAACTGAGGAGGTGAAACCTAGTGAGTAGGGGTGTGGTCCTTGGAACCGTGAGTGGTCCCCAACTCCTTCCTCTGTAGTTGTCTTCTCTGCTTTCTGGCTTCAGTGAGGGGAGAGCTTTGCTCTGTCACTGTGTTCGTCTCACACTGGGCCCAGGAATGACAGAGCCAGCAGATTATGGACTGGAATTCCTGAGACCATGAGCCAAAATGAATCTTGCCTCCTTTTACCTAGATTTTTAAAGGTATTTTGTTACAGCACCACAAAACCGAATGACTCACCCAGCATTTAAACTCACCCACAATTTATCCCTATGTAACATGTCCAGGACTCCTACTATTGGGCCATATACTTTTTCTTTAAGAGAATCTCCTCCTCCTCCACCTCCTTTTTTTTTTTTTTTTTTTTTTTTTTTGAGAAGGGTCTCATATGTAGTTCAGGCTAGCTTTAAACTCAACTATGTGGTCCAGCTTGGACTTGAACTTGCAGTGATCATCCTGCCTCAGCCACTTGAGGATTACAGATGTGTGCCACCATGTGAGGCAAGAGTTTTCTTTTACCTTTTCCTGCCTTGACTTGGTTGATATTTTCTCTCACTGAGTTATTTTTTAAAAAAAATTCTATTGGCTGGGGAGATGGCTCAGTGGAATAAGTGCTTCCCTGGTAAGCACAAGAGCCTGAGTTCAATCCCCAGTTCTGAAAAAAAAAAAAATCTCATTATCTATCTATCTATCTATCTATCTATCTATCTATCTATCTAATCTCCATTCTTTCAAGAATCTAAATCTTTCTCTTTCTTGAGAAGTAACTTCCTTTGACACCTCTTTCTACCCTAGGATATTAATTATATGTCTCACATAAATTAGAATTAGATTCAGATATATGGGACAGTAAACCCCTCAAATGATAACTTAAGGTATAAGTTTATTGGTTTAACACAAATAGAAGTCAGGAGAGGCAGTTCTGGGCTGATACAGAAATACCTCCAGGATACAAAAAATTCAGTCACTTCCAGCTCCCTGTCTGCCCTCGTGAACTGTCCTTGTCACCATTAGTCTGAGAGGATATTCCAGCAACTGCATCCATGTTCTAGGTAACAACTAGGGAAGGAACCAGAGGAGGACACACCCTTCTCATGCAGAACAGTTCCTGAAGGTGACATGTAACCCCATGCTTACATGCTGTTAGCCATAATTTAGACACATGAACACATTTAGTTGAAAAGAAACTTAAGAAGATACTTTTAGTTGGGAATTAGTATCTAAAACTACGAAGTATTTCTTAGGAAGAAGAAGATAGTGGATATTAGCACATTGATAGGAGTCTGCTGTATAATTCTTGTCTTTTCTTAACAAAATCTGTTTTAAACTGTATTTACCAGGAATAGTATATCTTCTTCAGGAGAGGGGCCATGCATTAGTCCAAGAATAGTGCCAGGACAGTATTGAATGTTACTCAGGAAATAGCTTACTGTCACTTGGCTGCTTTTGCATAGCATGATGTCTTCCAGCTTCATCTCTATTGTTGAAAATGACAGTATTTACTTTTTAAAGACTGAATAATATTTTGTGCACCACATAATTGTGTTATACATATACTACATTTCTTTAACTACTTATCATTTTCATGGCTTTCGTATCTTAGCTATCGTAAACAAATGATGAAATAAACATGGGACCGCAGGTCACGTGAGGTACTTATTTTATTTTCTTTAGGCTGTATACTTAGAAGTGGGATTGCTGGATCATCTTTGGTTTTTTGGAAGAACTTTCCATATGGATATTTGGATATGGATAGTGTTTTCCACATGGATATATCAATTTATATTCCCGTAAGCAGTGTGCAGGGTTTCTCTTTCTCTGGATCCCCATCAAAGCTTATCTTTGAATTTTTTTCTTCTCAAACTTTGCATTGGTGTATGTTTGTAATACATGGTAAATACACTCATTATGGGGGATTGACGCATGTGCCTATCACGTTTCAAGCCTTTTTACTTCCTCTGCCTGACCTAAAATGGTGATCCTCTTGCCTTAGCCTCCCAAGTGCTGTTACTGTAGCTGTGTACCACCGTGCCTGGGTTGTCAATTTTAAAGGGTAACTTTGCAGGATATAGAAGTCTGGCTTGACAGCTGTTTCATTTTAGGGCTTGAAAAACTTTACTCCAAGCTCTCTTGGCTGTTAAGGTTTGTGCTGAGAAATCCGCATTTTTCTGGCAGACCTACCTTTGTGTGTTACTTGCTGTTTTATTTTTCTCGAGTTGCTTTTAGCATTCTCTACTTTTGTTGAACTTCTGGAATGTTGATTACGAGGTGTGCTGGCAAGGTTCTTTTTTGACCATGGCCTGTGGACTGGGTGATACACAAAGGGCTGTCCACAGTGAGTTTTTGCCACTGTGTTCTCTCCTCCATGCTGTCCGCCCTCATGCATAGGGTATACTTCTTTTCCTACTTCGACTTGGCCCATACTCCCTCTGCAGAGCCTGTTTCTTTTTGTACCTTTACTAAAACTTTGCTAATCTTAAAAAAATAAAGTGAACAGTTTGATTTTGACATGTGAATCTCTTTTTAGGTTCTGTTTTTCAGTGATATGTTCTTGGCTTTAGCTTCCAGAGATAGTGTTCCTCCCTTCAATTCATTCAGTTTAATTGGGTTGGACCTATAGCTCTGAGAACAACGATATCAGAATTTAATAGGGATTACATTGTATCTGTAGGTAATTTTGGGTGGCAGAGACCTTTGAACAATTTTTATTCTTACAGTCCATGAACATAGGATATTTTTCTGTTTAATCTGTGTTTTCTTTAATGTCCATCAGTGCTTCATCATTTTCTGTATGTAAGAGTTTTGTCTATTTAGTTTATGCCTAAGTCTGTCTGTCTCTCTCTCTCTCTCTCTCTCTCTCTCTCTCTTTCTTTTTGTGTATTTTAGGGAAGGGTCTACAGGGTGTTCAGGGCCTCACTACTAGATGGGACTCACAGTGATCCACCTGTTTACAGCTTCCCAGGAGCTGGGATTACAGGCGCGGGTCACCACGCCCAGTCTCAGTTGCTGTCTCATGGTGTCCTGGGGGCGGGCCCAGCATGGCTAACTCTGAGATTGAACCTGTCTGCATGTGCTTTAATCTACTGAGCTATGTGGCCAGCCCTCTTTTTGTTATTTTGAATAAAATTATTTTTATTTCCTTTCCAGATTGTTTTTTCTTTTAAATATAGAAAAATGAGTAATGTTTTTGTTTTTTCCTACCCTGTAAAAATTTCTCCTCCTCCTTCTGTTTTTACACGGGGTCTTGCTATGTAGTTCAAGCTAGCCTTGAACTTGCGGTGATCCTCCTCCTTAGTCTGTAGAGTCCTGGGCTTACAGGCATGTGCTACCGTACCTAGCACAACTCTCTGAATTTATTAATTCAGGTTTTTTTTTTTTGGTTGAATCTTTAGAAGTTTTTTTGTTTGTTTGTTTGTTTTACATTTATGTTTATATCTCCTGAAAACAATTTTATTTTTCCCTTTGGTGATGACTTTTTATTTATAGTTCCTGTCTGATTGCTCTTGTTAGGACTTTCTCTACTCCTTGACCAGACATGGCAGGATTAGGCTTCCTTGTTTTAGACTGGATCCTAGAGGGAAAGTGTTCACTTTTTCCTCATTGGCTGCAGTGATGGTTTCAGTCTTTTTTGCTGCTTTAAAAAACTATAAAGAAAAGAGACTTATGTCTCAGCACTCTGGAGGCCGTGAAGTCTAAACTCAAGAGGCTGGTGTCTAGGCAGGGCATTGGGGCTGCGCTGTCCCAAAGGACAGCGCAGTACATACCTAAATTATGTACTGTTTTCCCCCACGAAATATACTAGTCCATCACCTTGTGCCTGACCTTGCAGAGTCCCAAGGCACAGAACAAATGAAGGGAGATTATTCTTTCACAGTTACCAAGGATGCCCTTAAGTTCAGTTCTCAGCAGAGTCCTCATTTGCATGTAGAGCAGCATTAGCATAACCTTTCTTGTCCATGTGTTCAGAGAGCTCTTGAGCTCTCACCAGAATCACTCGGGCTTTGCTTATAGCAGGTCTGATTTATCTTTTTTTTTGGGGGGGTGGGTCGGAATCGGGGATTGAACTAAGGCCCTTGTGCTTGCCAGGGAAGCACTTATTCTACTGAGCCATCTCCCCAGCCCTAGTCTGTTCTTATCAAGAGTGCTTGTGCAGAGTCTTTCAGGTTCCTTCTGTAATCCAACATAAAAGACTCTTGCCTTGTCAGGTGCAGTCACCACAATGGTCCTTCTTCTCAGTACCAATTTTCAGGATTAGTCAGCTTTCTGTTACTATGGCAAAATAACCTGAGACAATTAACTTTCTAAGAGAAAAGGTTTATTTTGGCCCATTGTCCTTGAGGTGCCCGTCCAAAATTAGGGATTGAGGATGTTGCTTTGAGCCTCTGATGAGGCTTTTCATTGTGGTGGGAGCATGTGTCAGAGCAAATTGCTCACCCTGTGGCCCTGGATGCAAAAACTAATGAAAGAAGGGGCAGCAGTGTCACATTGCTCTTCTGAGAAATGAATTTCTTAGTTAACTGGGTAATTTCTCAGTTATCCAGTGACCTCCCACTAGACCCCCCACCTATTAAGGGGCCACAGCATCTCTCAATGATGCCAGCCTGGGGGCCAAGCCTTCAGAAGAAGGCTCTTTGGGGACACTTAACTAAACCACAGCACATTCCACATTTAGGAATCAATTTCTGTGTTTGTTAGGTTCACTTTAAGCTTTTATAACAAAGTGATTCCAAAATACAATAGCTTAAATAAGAGGAAGGCGAGTGCTTCAGGGCTCACTGTAACCCTGCCATCTTCGGTGCATGGCTTTATTATTTTCTAAAGAGAATAAAAAGTAGTAAAAAAAGAAAAAAGAAACAATGTAGAATTCCACTAAACAAAATGATAGGAATTCAACAGTGCTTGTTCTATTGTGTGATGTTGTCTTCAGATTACTTGCTTAGATTACCAGATAGAAAAGTGCATGGCTTTCAAGAATATACTTGCTTTTGCTATTCCTAGGTAGAGGAAAGAGGAGTACAAAACAAGGATCCTTAAGGTAATTTCTCAGCATTTGCACCCTCCTCTTCCTCTCACTCATCGGCCAGAACTAGTCACTTAGACAAACTACCTAAAAGGAAGAAAAGGGAATGTGACCTCTAGCAGTTACTAATTGTAATCTGTTGCTGTTACTAAAATAAAGAAAAAATGCAGACCGCTGGGAACACAGAGCAGTCTCTGCCATGCTAATTGGACCACTTACACTTTCTGATGGAGAATTACTGACTTGAGAGCCAGAGAGTGAGATCAGAGAGGGTAGCTGAGGCCCAGGGCTGACAGACCACTAAAAAGGTAAATTAGAGATGAGTGCTTCTGCCTAGGAGGTTACAAGAGAATCTGTTTACTAGAGCTATCCTAGATCCCACATGACTTTCTAGGTTCAGTGGCCCCTGCAATTTGGCTTGCACTAGTTCTTGTGAAAGGCTCTTTTAGGCTAGATTTAGATTTTCTTTTGTGGCGTGTGTTGCCATGGCTAAGTTAGTTAACTCAGCTGTTTCTTGAGCTAACACAAGGGAGCTGTTCCTTGTGACAGAAGAGCCTCTCTTACTACTGTACTCCTCCTGACAACCCGTAACCAAGCAATATTATGTGTTTTCCATGATGCTAAAAAGAGATTTTTCCCTTTGTGTCATTGTTGTTCCTCATGAAATAACAGAATCATAAATATACTTAAGTAATTTAATACTGCTGTTAATGTATTCATCAGGAAAATAAGGAAAATGGTGCTGAGTGGAGGGTTTGCACACTGCTCTACTTATTTAGAAATTAAAATGAGGTATTGTGCTAGGCTGTGTTTATGTCAGGTATCTGGAATGCATTTTAGCATAATTATGCTATTACATATTATACTATTAATTACTATAAAATTGGAAATAGCATATGTTACATGTCACTAATATTTCTGTTCAATACTTTCATTTATGCAGTATAAGAAGTGGCTTAGTTTTGATGGTACCCGTATAGGAATTCTTGAAAGATTTATAGCTGGTTCCTTAGCTGGTGCAACTGCCCAAACATGTATTTACCCCATGGAGGTATGTATTATTATAAAATTTTAACTTTTGAAGGCATGCTTTTAGTGCAAATTACAACTTCTCGCAAGTGAATCACAGATTAGTATTTTATAAAAGAAATAGCTTTATTGCTATAGGATTTGCAGTTTATATCAAATGTCAGTCTCAGTGTATATTTTTCTGTCTACCACAGAGGTTGTACTGCAGATATATCAGGAAGAAATGGTTTGCTGGATTGCTTGATAGAATCATTACTCATTAAATAGGCAAATCAGATTGTGTATCCATTGAATTTAAGGTGCTCTGCTGGGTTCTGTACAGGATCCAGAGAAGGGTCAGACTGCGATTTTAATCATTTAACTGATGGTCTAGAAAGGGAGATAATTAAATTGATAAAGTAGTTTTTGCTAATGACCTAAAATAATGATGATCCAAACTAGAAAAATCAGTACTAGAAGACAGATCAGTACATAGTGCATATCAATATGTGAACACTCAAACATGAGAAAGTATTTCGGGGTAGGGATTTCATGAAGGATATGGGTAGCCAGGGTTACAGCTCAGTGGCACGGTGCCTGCTTGGCAAGCACAAGATCCTGAGTTCAATTCCTGGGACAAAAAATGAGAAAGATATGAATAAGGTATGTGAACTTGGCTTAGAATTTGGGACATGCAGGAGATTGTGGGGCTGGAGCAAAGAAATGGAGGCTTTAACGAAGTAGGCGTTTGGTTCTGGGCTGTATAGTTGCACAGGAGAAGGGCTGGGGCCTGATCAGAAAGGCTCTTGATGCTAATTTTAAGTGATGTGAAAAAAAAGAAGCAGCATTAAAGACTTTGGAGTCTACAGTGTCATCTGTTTTGTTTTGCTTTGCTTTTGTGGTGCTGGGGGCCTTGTGCACGCAAGGCAAGAGCTCCACCATTGAGCTACATCCCGAGCCCCGCAATATGACCTTGATAGTTTTTTTTAAAGAGAGGATACTAGAGAGATGGGAAGACAGGTACCAGTCAGAGAAGAGATAATAAGAGCTTGAAATATGATAGTAACTAGGGCAGATCAACTCCTTTTAGAGCTATGGTGAGAATGAACAACTTCAGATATGAAAAGCAAAGGGCAAAGAAGAGAATGAAGTCTTATCTGGGTAATGCGCCTGAGAGTCAGAGCCTTAATAGAGGTGCAGTAGAGAGGAAGGGAGCTAGGCTTAGTGGTGGTGCATTCAGGGTGGCATGAGTTCACTTTTAGCTGTTGGCGAGACCACCAAGTTAGGATTTTCAGTGGGCAGTTGCAAATGTGTTAGAGCCCTCAGATTTCAAGGGTTTGTGTTGTATCTGTAGAAGCTCAAACTATAAATAAAAGGTAAATAAAAGATAGGTAATAGGCAATAGGAAGCTAGACCTTTTGCAGCTCTGAGTGAGATCAAGAGATGGAGAGGAAGAGAGAGAAGGGCAAGCAGCTGAGAAAAAGGAATTAAGATGCCTTGTATACAAGAAGAATGCAGACATCACGTACTGCAGATATGTACCAATAGAAACTGCAGTGGCAAAGAATGACCCAAATAAGAATAGTAAAGAAAGGCATATGGGAGCCTTTGTGGTGGTGTGTGCCTGTAATCCCAGCAGGCGGGTTGTGGCGAGTTTGAGACTAGTCTGGGCTACAAAGTGAGCTTATGGCCAGCCTGAACTGCATAGCGAGACCCTGTGTCAGACCAAAAAAAAAAAAAAAAAAAAAAAAAAGGAAAATGTACTGTTTTGTTTCTTTTTAGTGACGAGAAGACAGTTTTTAAGATCTTAATTTAGAAAGAAGAGGAAAAACATGCTAGTGAAACAAGCATAATGATTAAGGTTGGGGAAAAGGGCACTGCCTCGGAGAGGGTAGGGGATTTGTAATGCTGCAGTTATCTGAACTACCTGCTTCTGAGAGGCCCACAAAACAGAAAGCTTCCTGCTACAGGCAGGGCAGCCCCGTCTTGTCACCCAGTTTCCTTCATCAGGATGAGTTTGCGATGGCTGTTTGGGACAGCCAGTTCTGCAAGCAAGAGTTCCCTTAAGTTACTAAACATTAGGACAATGAGGAGCGCGATTCCTATCAGAATTACATTGGACATGAGAATGTGGAGCAGATAGAGCTCGCTGGGTCCAACTGTTGTCCTCATAGTTTCTGTGAAGTTACTACGTCATTAGCATAGATTAAGTCCAAGTCGTACCAAGATACAGTTTACAGGCTTTACTAGAATAGTTCCCAGTTGCACATTTTGAGCATGTATATGTGCTTTTCTGACATTGGTTCTTCACTTTCACATGACCATGTACTTTTTTGAACTGGTGTTTTGTCTATATTTATTTTGTAGCAATAGTACTATCTTAAATTAATTTGTTTCAGTACACACATGACCTTGTATGATAAAGACGTTTGAGCAGATGTATCCATCAAGGACACACTGATTGTTGGAATACTTTTAAAAATTTAGTACTCCATCAATTGTTGGTCAGTAAGTTATAGTTATGCTTTATGGTGCTAGAGTTTGAAGGTAGGACCTCATGCAAGTCAGGCAAGAACTCTACTGTGAGCTACACGCCCAGCCTTCATTATAGTTATTACTATTATTTTTTTTCTGTATTTAGGACAGGGTCTACAGGGTCTCATTACATAGATCAGACTCATAGTGATTTTCCTGTTTTCAGTCTCTCAAGTGCTGGGATTACAGGCACGTGCCACCACGCCCCGTCTCCATTGCCGTTTCAGTGTGCCTCACTGGTGGGGCTGGCATGGCACGCAGGGATTGAACCCTGGCCACTGCGCTCTGCCTAAGCAGGCGCTTTAGTCCACTGAACTATCAGGCCTTCCCTTCTCATTATAATTATATTTATGGTTGCTTTATCTTTTCATTCCAGTAAAAATTTGTAAATATTATAATATAATAGACCCCACTAGATTGCTGGATGAGTTGGTTGAATCTAATCTATGCATATTTCTTATGCTCTTTTACATGTAGGTAATAAAGACCAGACTTATTGTAGCTAAAGCTGGAGAATATTCTGGGGTTTTTGATTGTATCAAGAAACTTCTGAAGCAAGGGGGTGTGCAAGCCTTTTTCAAAGGTTATATTCCTAACTTGCTGGGCATCATACCTTACGCAGGCTTAGACCTTGCAGTTTATGAGGTGAGTTCACTCCAAAATATGACAGTGTGTGTTAGATTTGAAGATAGGTACGATGGCTTTTTATTCTAAAACAAATGATTTTGCATGAAATAGCTTCTGACCAGGAAGTGAAGTCAGTGTTTTAATTTGACCTTTTATTTTATGTTAGACTCTGATATTCTAATAATTTTGATTTTTTTTTTTTTTTGTAAATCGATTTTTTGGTGATAACATGTCTAAATTCTGATATAATAGAGGTTTTTTTTTTTTTTTTTTTTTGTACGGGGGATCAAACTC